TTTGTTATTGGCACTCAATATCAGAGCCCTCAGATTCGACGAAATCAGGCTTCTAAGCCACAGTCGCACGTTGAATTGACGACCCTGAAAGCGCTCAAGAGATTGGAATGCGATGTTATCCCCGATTGCCTTGCTTATCAAGATGGAAAGCAAGGCGAAGATAATATCGACCGGAGGTTATGTCACGTATGTGGTCTAAGTCCCCAGGGAGTTTCTAAGCGCAGAAGAATTCTGGGAGCTAGATCTTGAGTCACGAAAAGCGATCCGCGGTAGATTTCTTGAAGCCTTTCCGTAGCTTTATAGATCCGCAATGTTATAGTCTTTACCTGGCGTTCTCTCAATTGTTATGAAAATCAAAAAGCCGAGGACGTATGGCTACCTCCGAAGACGACGGACTGGGCCAATGACACCATAAGGTAGACTTGGTGAAAAGCGAAGTCATACTCAAATGGACCCCTAAGTAAATATACGTCGAGAGTTCTTCTATCATGATTCTTCTGAGATTAAAGGATGAGATTTGCCCTGTCCCCCATTTTTATTATAGGGCGCCCACCAAATTTCGAATAATATGAAGCTTGCCACCCCAAGGACGGTAGGATCGAAGTGGATAATACAGACGATACCAAGACTAAGAAAGGCAAAATCACGCTTTCCGGACTTGCTGTCCATCTTAGACGCGTAGATTGATTGGTCTGTCAATATCGCTTGAAATCGCTCCTGAGGGTTCCAATTCGCATCATCGATGAAACGACATCATGAAGTAGCTACAATGGATAAGGTCCTGCCTTATAACTGGTCTCAGGCTTCCACGCTGCGATCAATATGAGATATATGTTCTATTTGTGGTGCCGTTCACCGATGAGTAGTTTTGCAGAGAAACAAAATAATCTCAAGGTATTTGGCAATTTGTCTTTCTCGGTAAACGCAGCTGTTCAATGGACCTCAGTAGCTGATTTGAACATAATTCTAGTTTGCTTTTAGACTGGGCAAGATGTGGTTTTTCGACAGAATGATGTGATATTCAGCCATCAAGATGCCATTCCCACTAACCCTCTTGACCTTTCTTGGCCCTGAACCCGAACCTCTCACAACACACCAGAAGAATTGTTCCATACTTGGCTTCATGATGCAAGCCAGTTTCAAGTGGTCTCTTATCAGCAAATTCATGTTCAAGGCAATATACCCCGATTGGATCGTCGCTGCAGGGATGTATAAAAGGAGTCCAGATAATCCAAATTTATTAAAGGTAGAACGACAGGTTCCATTATTCTGACAATTCACCCACATTGGCTTTGGATTGTCAAGATGTCCACTGTATACAGCACAAAGAAAGGCCCGGATGAGTCTATAACAGTACTCAAAGGGACAGATACAGACTCATCTACCAGTCTTGACATCCCGCCGTTGGGTGAGCCAGGAGATGAACGTCGGTTTTGGTTTCAGCGAGGCAAAGACTACAACCCCGAAGCAATTGCGACTCAGCCGTCCGTTTTTGACAACCCGGACACCGCGAAGGAATATCAACCTCGAGCCGACTGGGAGAATCTTCACCGATTTGACACCTCGGCTCGGTGGACATGGAACGAGGAATACAAATTGATCCGAAAAATCGATCTCCGTATCATGGTATTTGCGTGTCTCATGTTCATGTGCTTGGAGTTGGATCGGTCGAATCTGTCACAAGCTCTAACCGACAACATGCTTCCCGAGTTGAACATGACCACAAATGGTAAATAAAGCATCGGAGTTATCTTTTTATCTTATGATATTCTAGGGCTGACAATAATAATTTCTATCTCCAGACTACAATCTTGGAAATACGGTGTTCAAGCTCTCATTCCTCAGTGCCGAGCTTCCCTCTCAGCTCGTCAGCAAATGGGTTGGACCTGATCGGTGGATTCCCACCCAAATGGTTCTTTGGTCTGCAGTTGCCATGGCACAGTATGGTCTGAATGGGAGAACGACTTTCCTCTTGTGCCGCGCCCTGCTGGGTATTTTGCAAGGCGGGTTTATCCCAGATGTAGGTTATTCGTGTTCTGGTTACGGGTCACTGCTAACAGACTCAAAGGTGATATTGTATCTGTCCTACTTTTATAAACACCATGAGCTGTCTTTACGACTCGGTTTCTTTTGGACGGCCATGAATATTGCGGATATTCTTGCTGCATTCCTCGCATTCGGATTTTTACATCTTCGTGGTGTGCAAGGTCAATCGGGATGGCGCTGGCTGTTTTTGCTGGAGGTGAGTAGCCACCTCATTTAAATTTGATTGCAATCGGCGCATTACTCACATCGAAGACAGGGCCTTCTGACACTTCTATTTGGTCTATCTGCATATATCCTGATGCCACCAGGACCATGCCAGACTGCTAATTGGTCTCGGGGTAAATCGGGTTGGTTCACTGCCCGGTAAGTTATCTCCCTTCTTATAGCAAACCGGATCGTTATTGACAGGATTGACAGAGAGGAAACCATCATCGTCAATCGAGTAATTCGTGATGACCCAAGCAAAGGAACCATGCACAATCGAGAACCTATTACACCTAAACTACTCTGGAAAAGTCTCAAGGACTATGATCTCTGGCCGTTATACATCATCGGACTTACCTTCCAAACACCAGTGGTGCCCCCCAAGCAATACCTAACTCTGACTCTGAAAGGCCTCGGATTCGGCACTTTCGTGACAAATCTCTTGGTCATTCCTAGCGAAGTGCTGTCTATTATCTTCCTCCTACTCCTCACATATGCATCGGAGATTTGTAACCAATTGACTTTGGTGTCTACGATCGGGCAAATATGGATGCTTCCTTTCTTGGTCTATTTATATGTGATCGACATCAACACCGCGAACAAGTGGTGCGTGTGGGCGGTGATAACTCTGCTATTGTCATATCCAAATGGTAAGCTCACCTGTTCAAATCTGCTTGAAATCATGGCTCACAAAATCACAGCGCATGCTATTCAAGTCAACTGGAACTCCCGCAACTCAAACACTGTCCGATCCCGCACGGTCTCGGCTGCCATGTATAACATGTGTGTCCAATCGTCGGGGATTATTGCTTCCAATATCTATCGCGCTGGTAGGTCATGAAATTCCTCATCTTTTCTACATTTGCTCGGTATTCTAATTTGGATCAGATGATGCTCCCCGCTACCGGAGAGGCAATGGTACTCTGGTGGGACTCGTTGTTTCCAACGTGTTCATATACTTGTTGACCAAGGTATACTATGTCTGGCGCAATCAAAGCCGGGACAAGAAATGGAACGCTATGACGGACAACGAAAAGACGAACTATTTGGCGACTACTAAGGACGAAGGAAATAAGCGACTGGATTTCCGATTCGCCCATTGATTATCTCTCTGCAAATTGGGCCTTGACAGATTTACATGCGAAGAAATGGGGAAAACGAACTTAGTCCGAAGATGCATTACTCTGGTTAATTTGATATCAAAGCGATCTATGCAATTTCCTGGTCTTCCCTTTTCGTTTCAGTACTCATCCCTCGCCGCTTTTTGATCACTGAGTAGAATTGAACCCCGGAGCGCCTGATCAGTCAGCGACCTGAGTAGCGTCTCAATAAAATGCAATAAGCTAGTCCAATTGATGTGCTATCCTCACTCTCTCGATTGCCCCCGCAGTTCCCATGGCTAATGAAATCACTACTTAATATCCCGTCTAAATGAATATTCAACAGGACGAACGGCCAACTGTAAGTATCATGTGCACTGACCACCACTTGAAGCCTTTGACCCGCTTCTCAATTGGCAAGGCACACCCGACTAAAAGTTCAAGATACTATTTCCCGAGTCCAAATAATTTTGCCGGGAATATGCTTTAGCCCCCACCATACCCCACGTACGAACCCCACGTACTAAGACCGCAGCTTCCCGATGTAACACTCCAAAGCTAGATTTCCCCGGGTCTCATTCCAAAGTGACATGCGACAATGCGCCTACGCTGCATCAAGTCCGTAAGTGCATATAAATTAGAGTGATAGAAGCCACCCGTGTGCCCAAGGTCGGACTGGAGACTGGATCGGTGCCCAGGTGGATACAATACCGACGTTCTATTGGCCAGAATCGACGCCAAGTGGAAAAAGTGGGTCTCTGGCGTGTTGAGCCTCTTCAATCAAAACCATTCGGGTATACGTCGACTCGCACCTTTCCTTTTTCCTTTTTTTAGACCAGAGTGTACTTGAGCCAATCACATATATACTTCTGTGTTGGTTGGTTTGAATTTCGACTCAGCCTGCCGGGTTGTTGTAACATGTCATGCCGCTTGCTCTACATCGCAATGATCCACACCTAGTGGGGCATATCACAACCCAATAAGATGAATTTGTAGAGATGTCCAGCTCAGCTACGTGAGCGACCGATCCAGGAGATTGAGGCTCTGATTGTTGACTGGGGGTGATGCCCGTCATTATCGGAAATCACCGAACGTCGCTTCAGCCGCTTTTGGCCCCAAAAGATCCCCGCTAGGTGAAAGTTATAATCACTAGGCGTGCTCTGAGTCGTTTCAGACTTTTTCTTTACGGACTATTTAGTATTAGCTTGATTCTTAATTGTTTTCTTAACAAGAATAGCAGGCTGTATGCGGACTTGTCATCGCGTTGGTTTTTTCGGTTTTTTTTCAACCGTCCTCTGAAATATCATTTTTATGGATATCTCCTCCTCCTTCTTAGGTACACGGTGGAAAAAGACGGGGAAGCGCTTAATTTCGAAAACGACTTTCCCATGTACCTATAACCTTGGATTAGGCACCAGATCGGCATCCAATACGACCGAGACCGTCCGACACACCCACCCATCGAGCTGTTGACCTGTTGGCATTAATAAAAGTCTTATTAACCCCCTTTCCCATATACCTTTCTTTTACCTTTCTTCATCTCCCCACTCGAGCTCGTACGACTTCCACAACGTCTAAACGTGCCACTTCGTCCTGGGTGGCATATTGAGCCGCATTGGCCATATAAGAGCTTATTTTCTTTCCTACAATATGTCCTTCAACACCACATCTACTGCCTCCATTACGCCGCCATTCGGCTTTGGATATCCTACTCCCACGCCCTCAACATTGGCCAACCACAATAACAACGCAAGCCAAACGGTGAATTATCCCAGACCTCTCGTTGATGTTTCTTCGCCCCCACAAGAAAACTCTCACCGGGTGAGCAAGGCTATGAAGGGCAAGCGAGTCCATGCGTGCCAGCGCCCTGGATGTTCGAAGGTAAGTACCATTCTAATATTGCCAATGAATCATCTCGCTTACCGCCATGACACAGGTCTTTACCAGAGCTGAACACCGCAGACGACATGAGCTCAGCCATGATCCTAAAAAGCAATACCCTTGCACTTACGAAGGGTGCAAAAAGACATACCATCGTCCAGATTACTTGACCCAGCATTTGGTCCAACAGTGAGTAACCCCCCAGCAGTTGACAATAATCGAAGCCGTGGACTGACCTGAATGAAAGTGCGACTTCAGCACCAAAGGAAAACATACCATACGCCCACAGTGACAGATCATCTCGACAGTCGAGCCTGCAACAACAGACGCAGTCGCAACCAGCCAAATCGCCTGCTATTCCATTCCAAGTGGATACCACCGACAGTTATCCCGGGATATGGGGAATCATGGATTCATCAATGCCATACCCACAGTATTCCAGCGGCCAGAGCCAATCTTCCGCATCCGCTCACGACCACCCATCCCCCTATTCCTATACGACCGATATATGCAGCTCACCCGTCGCAAGCGAATCCCTTTTAAATCCTCAATATCCCACCTCGGGCATGCCGGTAGAGACGGTGACTGCCATCGATCAATACCTCCGGAGCATCTTGAAGCCTGAAGCCTTTGCGTCACCCTACCAGCAGACGGACCCCTCGATTTGGAGCTCTGATATTGATATCGATCCTACGTTGGCAAAGATTGAGAGCCTAGTGAGTGCAATCTAAATCCGTTTCCAGCAAGAACACAAAGGCTGATAATTATTTCAGGACCAACTACCGCTCTATTCGTGGCCTCCCACCCACCACTTGCAATACGAGGATCATCCAGTGCAGATGAACCACCCGTCCGACGACCGTTGAGAATTATTTATACTAGCGATTGATACGCTTAGTTTGGGCTTTTCATTTGCTTTAGCGTTTTTCTCTCTCCCTTCAGCCGATATGATACCATGACAATGCGTTAATATGAGACAAATTGGATTTAACTTAATTCGAACTCCTTCATTGAAGACTCTACATAATAATACGCACTACCTGCACGTTATTCACAAATCGCGATCTCGGTGCCTCGTGAGGTTGTCTTGTAAATAATCACATTATTACGGTACCCATTAGAATCTAGACAAAGATTCCCCAAGTCTTTGAATACTTGTATTCATAGTCTCTACATTGATGTACAACATGGTCTGCGCAAAGAGCTCCTCCACGTGTTAGCACTGGGAAATAGCCCCGTTATGATCTGGAATGCGTGCAGCCTTGTAGGTTGGATCTATCGATTAGATGTACGAACGACCCTCCCAAGGTCATGGTATTGCACCATGATACTATGACTTGGCGGATTTTGATTACTCGAATTCTATACGCGCCGTTTGTGACATCCCTTGCATGAGGCTAGTTTCGGTGGCCTCGAAGCGGCAACCGGGCGAAGCGCCTTATTGCGCCACCCAACAGCGCCTACAGCCTACAAATTTGCTTTTTCTTGGTATTCTGAAAAGGGCATCTGGTGATCTTATCTTATCAGTAACATTGTTGGGAAAGGCATCTGACCGCTACTTCTAGGATAGGCGTTGTTTCTCTAGTGTGTATTGACATTTTATCGCTCGCCCTTATGTATTGTCTCTGTGCACCTATCAGTCAGTTGCAGAAGCTTACTCATTACGCTAGAGTTGGGGGTCTGGCAAGAAGTTGGATGTGCACCTTGGCTGGTGAATATATTCAATAAAGGAATAAAGGCCATATTTGAAAGACTGCAATTTGGTCAGCCGACTGAATTCAGCCAGGCTTTCACTCGGTCTTCAAGTTGACCAACAGGCTCTTTCGAATCTTGATCTTCAGCCTCGTCTTCCCAATCATATTCATCTTCCTCCCAAATGCCCTCGAGCCAGGCATCTTCATATATAGTTTCCGACGGTTTACCCTCTCCGTTGATGCCAAACCAAAGGAAGGCATACAGTGTGGCTTCTTCGGAAGCCTCTTGATCAAGTTCCCTCGTAGGGAACCTTCTCTGCTCCCTAATACCAATCATATCGGAAGGACATTCTGTAACCGTCGAAAGGGGTGCTATTGAAAACCCCTGATCCTGAATAACCGAGCCTTCTTCTAAGTGCCAATTCCAATGGTGGTATTGGTACTCATGTCGAGCGCATTTCAAATGTGTAGTAACTCGAAGGGCACAATCCTTTGGTAAGCACGACCCCCAGGGTGCCCAAGGTGTTTGAGGCCTGGTTTTATACAACAGCTCGTCATCCTCGATTTGGGGAGGATGCAGTAAGCGCCATACGTCTAGCCTTGAGATATGCTCAGGGTTCCCATGCGTGTATGGACCCGAACCTGGAATATTAATGAAGCTTTGAAGACAGCCAGTCCAGGGAAATCCAAGTGCATTAATAGGAGACGTGCCTTTTCTTACTTTTTGAATAATTTTTGGGGTTAGCCCGCCGGCAACCGCTACAATCCAAAGAGCACCTATATTAGGTCGATGTATTGCACCGATTAGAACAAGTGCTTCGTAATCGTGGCTACCCGTGGGAGATGTCTCAGCTAGTATCTCTTCGAAAAGCGGATGCAGCCAGGGAGCGACGAGATTGCATGGGACTTCGGGCTCGCCGAATGATCCACAAAGAGTAGATAGCACTACTTCCGGACTACAGCTCAGAGTCAGGTAGTAGGGCAGCTCCTCGTATAAACTGGACCAAAGTGATGGAATAACATCCATGGGAGTCGTAGGTTGTTGACCACCAGATGCTCTTGGAAAGGGAAGTTAGACAGTCGAGCCATAGTATTCATGTGTTGGGAGCGTTATGGCTGTCATAAGCGCGATAGGAAGTTGGCTACCCAGGTTATGGAAATTTGCAAACCCAGCTAGAACATCAAAAGCTTTCTCTGAGGTTAAGGGTGTATATGAGGAGGTTGGCGAGAGTCCCTTCTGATTGATAGCGAAACGTGTATTGCATGTCTGTGACACCGCCCACGGGGCGAGAAATTCGTGGCGGTGGGTTCGTTTGATAATGGCTTTCCACCCTTCTCGTTGAGCTAGTATTGCATACCACCACCAAGTTATATTTTCATCTGCTGCCCTAAAATCGATTATATCAGTCTCTGGCAGGTCGCAAGAGTCTTCATCGTAGTTTTCGATCTAAGAGGCTGTATATTGCATAGTAGCACCCTCGCCTTGAATTTCAACAAATCGTGCAGAGAGTACATAACACCATCCAATTGTCAGGATCCCCAAGTAGTTTGGACCAGTGTGTTTTTTCTTCCGTTGTGCCAATCCAAGAATTGAAGGCATTCCCTTCGAAACTATAGGGAATAGCAACACTAGTGCCGACCTTGAGCATAGCATCGGCTGTCCTTTCTTTCGCAATGCTGTCGCAATCCGAGTTTCCTACTAATTTCCAAGTCGAGGATGCTTGCATGCAAAGAACAAGAGGAGAAACTCCGTAAGGGCGGGCATAGGTTGTTTCGGGTCGTACATGCAGTTTTGGAATTCTATGAAGAATGTGGCGAGGGTTTGTGTACTCTGGATTCAAGCCATGATCCCGATAGGCATGAGCTAGTGATGTCAGGCGATACCAATAGTCCCGACTTTTTTCCAGCGCCTCATCAACATGGCGTGTCTGAGGCTGGATAGTGTCGAGATCTTCAATAACCTATAACCAGACAAGACAAATTAGCATGCAATGTTGTAGGAGCAATTCTAAGCACTGACTGAGGAAAGCCGTGGAGGATTTAAAGTCTCCTTTCTCTTGGCCGATTCTTGTATTGGGCACATCGAAAGGCGTGAATAGCTGTGGCGAGTAAGTTGTAGACTAGCGAGGTATATTAGACTGGTGAATATATTATCGGAAATCTAGGATGGTTTTCATATGATGAGTCAAACACATATTCCCTGAAGGGGTACTGGAGGTTTATATATCTGGTGTGGCTGATGTGGCTTAGGCTTGCAGGGCAGTTCGCAGGGCAGCGTAGTTGGCACAGCCACATAAAGGATCACCTTCACCATCGGAACTTATAAATTGATCACTAAGATCAAAGAAAGCTACATAGTTTCGCAAGATATACTGCAAGTTGGGCAAATGAATTGGTATCTTGATAGGAGCTCACATGAAGCAACTCTTTTTCATGCAGCATACAATCTCGAAACTGTGATTTAGTGAATACTACTAGTGAAATTCGAAGTATAAGAGGGCCCCCAAGTAAGCTGATTGCTATCTTACTCGTATACCCATTTAGTATAATTCCTATTCGCCCTGGACTCTAGCTCTCAATTTGTTGTACAGCCTGTAAAATCCATATCTATATTATCACAGAACTCCGGGTCTTGGTCCTAAAGTATCCCTTAGTTCCGTGAGTGTGCGTAGATGATGAATATCATAATATATGCTCATTCATGTTTCATACCAGGCGTTAAACATTAGAAACGTCCAAACTATATCATGCCCTAGATTGCAAGAATCAGTAACCGAAACAACGATACATTTCTAATAGGTAGTACATCTTCTCGCCGATCATCACATCTGGCACGCTCTTATTTTGAATTTGTTCCTCTGCATGCTTCTCTCTTCTTGGTTCTCTGAAATCGTTGTTCCCTCACCGTTTCTTTATCGCTTCTCATCCATCCACTTTCGTTCATTATCACCGGTTTGACTCATCGCTCACTTATCCAATCGACAAGTTTAACAAAATGACTTCCTCTATCAAGCTTGATGACAAGCTCTCCGAGCTCAAGGCAGCTGATGTTCGACTGCTCATTTATGGTTCTTTATGCCACGATGGCAAGGTCAGTATCCAGACTCACATCATGCCTCCTATTTCTGTCTAATAACATTTACTTCATAGATTGACTCCGAGAAGCTTGCCACTCTCGCTAGTATGAAGAAGACATCCGCCAATACCAACTACTGGCGTGCTAAGCACCACCTTGAGGGAATTCTTGGTTTGAAAGTGCAGTCTCCTACCCAGGCTGTCAATTCCAAGGATGAGGACACCAACGGTGGACCAACTAAGAAGTCCCGTTCTGGTACCAAGCGTGGCGTGGCCAAAGACACATCCTCCAGGAAGGCGGATAAAGCTCCCAAGCGTCGCAAGACCACCACCAAGTCTGTGCCTGAGCGGGCTCAGGACGAGAAGTCCAGCGACGCTGACCCTGCCGACACTGCCGACACTGCTGACCTGACCGAGTAGATCGCTACTTGTGTCATCATGTCGCCTTGAACTGAGACTTCCCAAGAGAGAGAACGGAATGAATCGAATGGAGGAATGTAATCTGGGAATTGTTTCACTGCGGCGTCGATATACTCGGACATGGAAAATATGGCTTCACCATACCATTTGTCTTCTAATTTGAATCTTTGAAATGGAACATATCTCACAAAAAAACGCAGTTGCGTCACAAGTACACTGTTCAAACACTTCTCAACCGTCGGCTGCGTAATCTGACCGAAGCCGAGCTAGATGGGTTCGGTCCATTGAGAGTTGTGTTATAGGTCGTATTGCTATCCAGCACTTCCAGAATCACTGTACTGTTCCCCTCTCGGTAGTCACTTGTCGGGGTTCCATGAGTTCGATAACCGCCGTGTGGCTTCAAATGGTGGCTACCCGTTGCAATGTCCTTTCTCAAAAGCACTCTCTCAAACACCTCTAACGCAGCCAATGGCTGGTAGAAAGGTACTTCGTGACCGGACTCATAAATTCGCACAAAGCTAAACAAGTCACTTTGACGAACTTGTCCATGAACAACGCCGTCCGAGGTGGTGATGTTCACGAAACCTGCGTGATTATACCCTGGGGCATTGATCTCCTCAGCCACAACTTGTCCACCGAGCCAATTGCAGTTGAAGTCGCTAGAACTCGAATTAGCATAGGCTAGTCATCTCATCATGTGGGAGATCTCACGCATCCCCGAAATACAGCAATACCTGTACTCCAGCTTCCAACAACTTCCTCACATTCTCTATCGTCGCAGACTCGCGGTCGTCGTCGCCTGTGCTTCCGAAGGCATTGCCCACAGTCCCGGAGAACTCCGAGAAATTCTGGTATGCTCCAATAGCGGCTTGAACCTTGGGGCTGTTGAGATAATCGACGTAGAATTCGTATGGGAACGGATCGGGTGTCAACTCTCGCATATCATACTCGTCGCGCCCTGAGTAGATATCAAAGAGCGACTCAACCTTCGAAGCGCAGAAGTCGTCCGCCGCAGAGCAAATATCGTTTCGACCCGTCGCGTAACATTCCCGAGTCCGATCGACGCAGTTACCTTCTCCATAAAGATTGTTGTACCATTCGGCCTGCACCGACTCGTTGTACGGGTTGTAGTCATAAGTGTTTCCCGGGAAGATAGAGAAGTTGTAGTACGCCTGGTATTGAATCAGCGGATCGAACCAGCCATTTCCAATAAGGACGTTCTCAAGATCGATCCGAATCGAGCCATGGGGCTTTTTTGCGTTTTGTTTGACAAAGTACTCTGAGCTGAAATTAGCGCCAGTCGCATTTAGAAGTGTTTGCGATCTTTACCGTTGAAGACTGGGCCATAGTGCCCCCCGTAGCTCTCAGTGGCGAAGTTGAAGCCATTTCTCGAGTACTTTGGGAAAGCTCCCATGAATCCTTGTAGTGTCTTCCACATATTTGGGGCCGCACGTGCAGTTGTATTAGGGACTAGGGCAATGTCTGGCTTGGAGTATGTGCCGCATGTCCCAAGGTCCTGGGCATAATCGGGGCACTCCTCGCTGGGCAACTGGATAACATTGCCATCGTCATCCTCGTAGGCTGGAATCGGGATTGTATATGATAGTCCAACCGTGGCAGGCTGGTCAACGAAGAGCTAGTGACAAGTTGAGCTAGAGTCTCGGCGAACAAAGACAGTGCAAACTTACCATATTGCTCACGTTGCTCCAAGAATAAGGGTTGTTGTATACATTTCCGTCGTGATCAACTCCACAGGGGCCTAGCTCCTGGAATAGCCCGATCATGGACGATGATCCCGGGCCTCCATTGATCCAAACTGTAAGAGGTGCCTTGTTTATTGTTAGTGCACGTGATCAATGCTCAAACGCCGTGGGGACATACATCTTTAGGATCTCCGTTTCTAGCCTCGAAGAACCACCTGCGCTAGTCAGTCGATGTCTGGGGCTCATTCCTATCGCGAATGCTTACCAGAAAATATGCTCGTCCTCACCAACATCAGCGTAACCAGAATAACTCTTCACACTGGGGTCTTGTTCACAAATCCCATGAGGCACTTCCTTATATCGCACATCGATGCCGGCGTGTCCTGTCTTGGTGATCAAGTCGGTGGGTGCGGGCACAAATTGTGCCGTGGCATGACTTACCAGCACTGCCAACAAAACCTTCGGATATAGCACCATTTTGAATGGACATCCCCAATCAAATCCGAGATTCGAGCCATATCTTATACCATTGATTCCAGATAACCCCGCTCGGCAGGAGATATCCACTTTTCATTGCTAGGATCAAACGGGACGGCCAGAAACTACTAAGATCGCCCAGTTTGGTCTTTTTGGTCTAAAGCCGACGGATCTCCGACTCGACGTCCTCTGAAGCCCGGAAATAGGCGAATTGCTTATCATTCAAGCTTATTAGTGCTTAGTTGGGTTTTGGGGATCATATTGATAGCCTCGGTCTACACAATTCCACATCTCAGACCACATTCTGCCCAGTGGCCTTGCATAACTCGGAAATTATATCCATTATTATTGTTTATTATACATATTAATGTCAGCCAGCAATTCTAGAATCTATTAAACAAAATTCGACAAGAAAATCAAACCCTCTTGAACGGCCTCCCATCATTCTTTCCTGCATCAGTCTTCATAAAGTACCACTTATGCGCCTCGAAATCCTCCAATGATGGGAGACCAGTTCCAGTGTTTCCAGCAAATGAGATATCTCCGTCAATAACCTTGATATCAGAAGCACCGACAGTCACATTGTTAGGCGAGGTGATCCAATACTCAGGGCTGATATGAACATAGCCCATGGCCAGCAACGGCAGCTTAGGCACCGGGTCATCGGTGTGAGTGAAGCGGTAGTTGTTCCCCTGAGCCGTGATATGCTTAGCCAAAGGCACGTTCGCCACCCGAGGCGAGGCATACGCATACAGCTTAGCCGACGGGTAGCCTTTGCCCCGGAGATCAGCCACCGCAAGGGTTGCGACAGCGGCACCGAGACTGTGGCCCACTACGGCCAGCTCGTAACCGGGGTTCTGGGAGACGGCTTCTTTCAGTTCTTTGATGATGTCGTCGCGGACAAGCACCCAGGAGCCCCAGAAGCCGAGGTCGGCCAGGCATCCATCACAGAGATCAGGGTTTGTGTATACGAATATGGCATCGCTGACCCAGTTGCGCACTGAGTAGGATCCGCGGAAGGAGAGAACGACTGCCTCGTTGGCGTGGTCTACTGCGATGAAGCCGGAAGTATCTGTGATGGTGGCGCTGTGCATGTGTAAGTAAATTGTTTTGTCGGGTATTGTATCGGGGACGTCGCTTACTTGGAGAAGTCATAGAATACAGTCGCACCAGCTTCCTCCACTTGGGGGCAGTTTCCTTTCGAACAACTGATCTTGGCGCCCACTTGAGCTGTGTAGTCATCGGCATAGTATGCCGCGGCGGCATACTGGACCCAGAAGTCGAACTGGTTCAGTTCGCTAGTCGAAACATCTAACCGGGTGTGAGCGAGGTGGTCAAGATGCACTGATCAATGTTTGTGGCATGGTACCTCGAGCTTGCAGTTGACCGGGGAGGGCATGACCCAACGATGCTGCTGCAGATAGCGCTGTGAATAAAGAGAAACGCATGATGGGTTGTTGTCAATCGCGGTTCCTAATTGAGGCCAGGGGGACCCACGGCTTTATATGTTCGATCGCCCCTGGCAAATTCATACAGTATGTTCCTGAATGGGTTCCACACTTGCGCAAGCCATTTCCTGTCGGGGGAACCAATAAACAACGGCATATGATAAAAATACGATACTAGTCTCCGTGACGAGGGAATTCAGCACAGTTCCACACAATGATCGACGAAATAGATCAAATTTGGAGGCATTGGTGGAGCCGGGGAATTATTTCATTCCGGTCAGTCCGGCGATTAAGGCAATGCAGAATCTGAGATCGCGTGTGCTTTAAGTAAGGCAACGCCGAACCCGAAACCAGGTGTACTCCAAGTAAGGAGTACTCTATACAATCACATTAATATAGGGAGTGCGTGACATATGTTTATCTCACATGAAAATCTACAGATCGGAAGCTTCCAGCCTCAGCCAGGGCTGAACTGCTCAGCTCAGCCCGAAGTTAGTTTGATTAAAATCGGGTCCCTGCCAAGACATGCAAGGTGACTCCGTACTTTACTTGGCAAGAACCTCTAGAACAAAGTGCTTAGCGTTGTTCGCATGATCAGATTTGACGGTCTCAAACGGCAAAATTCAACTGCAATCGTGATAGTAATCGTTAACAATAGTGGAGCTCATGGCTCGAACAGCTTTTATTCAACCCCGGCTTATAAATTTCACATTAAGCAGCCATCCTTGATGCTAGAGTGCAAATCACTCATTCCCACTCGCACGCGGCGATAGCCGGTGCGGTGGGTCTTCTTCGCGGCATTTTCCTTAGCTTTCAGGCTTTCCACGCTGACGGACCCAGCTTGCGCATAGCTCACGGGGGTGGGTTTTGCGAATGCCCCAGTAGGTTCAAGGGCATAAACCTCAACCATCCATTCATACCAGACCTTGCGGTCATCGGTTTGACGGTACATCGTGGCAACGATCTCACCGTTCTCGGGAACACTAAGAGGGGTCTTGAGAGCGTTGTCAGTATGATGGGAAGGACAGAAGCGAGGGGTTTAGTTGGAAGGTTTCAAAAATACTAACCTTCAAGGGGAAGTAGATGGGGAACCAGCTGATCATGCTTGCGCTCTTGGCATCCATGGTCACCGGGTTGGTTGACAACTCCACATCACCGTAGAGCACTGTTTCAAAGTAGCCCGCCAGACCGTGGCACACACCTCGGTTCTGGCAAGGGAAAGCCAGACGTGTTTGGCGCACATTATGGGCGTTGGAGATGGTCGACTGCATGGGGGACTGAGGAGGAATGTGTCGGTTCGGGTGAGAGAAAGACCATGCGGTCTGCACAAAGGGAGTGGGGAATTCAGTAGTAGAGAATGACGACGACGGGGTGGATGCCCGGTTTCCATTATTGGGGTTGGAGCTTTCAGCGCTAGGAGGCGTCTCGGTAGTGGAGAGGAAGTCAATAGCATGAAGCATCACGACATATGGGGTCTCTGGGGCGGCCGGGTTGGACACCGTCTGGTGCACAACATCCGCGTGCAATTTGGGAGCGGAGATCGGAGTGAAATGTGCCGAATACGAGGCTGGAATGGAAATGCCGTGGACGGGGTTGATCACATCGTTCACACCATCCAGACATTCTGGAGAAAGCTCATTGTCCGCAAAGGAGCCCAACAGCTCCGAGACAATGATATCGACATGAGTGTGGCACATAGCCGACGCCTGAAATTCAGAAATTTCTGATGGCCGATCATGCTGGCCATCCTTCGGAGACTCAAGTAACGAGCTCTCGATCCCAAGGGATTCGCCCACAGGGCCAGTAGCGACCGTAGTCGACTGCTGTCGGACCAGAGGTCCTTTCCAACTTCGCATATCTGACTGGACCAGGGTGACCTTACCACCCCAAATTGTGTCGTTGTGTCGCTGTAGCAACACAAACGCATTCTGGTTCTTCTCCACCGCCCAAAGATCAATATCCACTCCAGCATCTGCGCTAGCCTTCAGGGCGCGAGTGACTAGCGGGCCGCGACCAGCTCCCACAACTGCGAGAATCACTTTTCCGTCCGGGTGAGACGTGGCCTTCTTCTGGTCGGCCCAGTCTCTCAATGCCTTGTAGATTGCCTTTTCATACCACTCGTATTTGATGGGATCCTTTTCAAACACTTCATATGTGATACTCTCCAAATTGACTGTGAGCGGCTGTAGAGGTGCCTGCAAGTAGTCCTGGTATCCCACACCAAATCTCTCAATTGCTGTCCGCGGGGGTTGGCGCTGCTGCAGATTGCGAATATACGAGAGATGTGGAGTGGGGTCGTGGTGCTTCTTGCCAGCCTGTGACAGACTTGGATAGTCAGACCCAGATAGCGAAGCCGTGTTGGTATCAGGGTCTTCGACATTCTCAAGTCCAGGGATAGGACCAACACCACAAAGGATAATCCATGGCGCCGTTCGAAGACGCATCATCTTTGCGATCAAACCTTGGTGTGACTTGGACAAGACTGGGTATCCTTTCTGGTTCTTGAGGAACGTCGAGCCATCAATCGTCAGTAAACGCACTGGTTCCGAATGCCATCGGGATTGCACAAACAGAGACGGTAGTTGCTTCGGCAAAGAAAGGGCTGTGATTCAGATTAGCTTTAGTTCAAAATATTGTCATAATGGCGATGACCATTGAAAGGGAGGATTAGCTCATACCAACGAACAGTCTTGCGTGGTATTTGCAAGTCTTTCTGATTGAATCCCAAGCATCCCAACTCCCAAACGGATCAACCTTGAGTGGATCCCCCTCATCTGGCACCAGGTATTCTGCCCGAGCAAGAGGGGCCAAGTCGCCCATTGTGTCAACTTCAGCCTCTGGGTTGTCAACCATCTGCTGCCAAATATGAAATTGAATGTAGGGACCGAGGTCTAGAGCGTCTTGAACCGCGCGCGCATAGTAGATGACACCCTCAGAATGCAAGGCACCGTGATGCAACTTAGGGCCAGGAATCAACAGATATCCAATGCCGCAAAACGCAGCATACGCAACTTCCAACATCAGAACTTGCCGGGACAAGTCTGCAATCAACGGGTCAGGAGAGCATAGATCAATCCAGCTACTGGTTACACCAACCAATTGGCTGGTTGCATCATTCGGGGTAAGATACGAATCTGCCTTCGAGAGCGGTGGAACCACCACAGGCCGAGTGTTCAGGGTGGTAGCCATGGTCCCAACAACATCGTAAGTTGGCGACTGCAGAGTCGCCAAATAAGAGGACAATAGCCCTAGGACGCGCGAGTGGAAATGAGAGGTCGTGATCGGAACAGTCATCATATCATACTATCAAATCAAGTTAGCATTTATGAAAGTAATGTTACAGGTAAGAAAAAGAACCAACATTACTCTCGTGTACGTTTTGGATGACCCGAGGGGTCACAGTAACTAGTCTGTTGTGCTCATGGTGCCCGACGCAGAAAGCTGGCCCGGGATCTTCTGAAGAATTGTAGCTCTCCATATTGACACAGAAGTCTAGCGCAATGGTGGGGGTGGTCTGGAACTAGGGATGTGGATAAAGGCTCGTGATGAGCAATAGAGGAGCTAATACGCTTGATATCGGGCAGTCCTATGCAAACAAGCCACGTGCATCAGACAAACTGGCTCAGAGAAGTCCAGCCAAAAACACACAGGGCGTCAACAAGCTCAAAGATTATCGATCCCTTTGTGGAGAGCGGCAGAATAGTCTGGCGGTGAGCCTGATAGGCAGTTGTGGCGCTCGGCCGACCTTCCTATCTCATATTTTTTTTTCTCCGGTATCTCAGCTTCTTCTCTCCCCCGAGTTTGCCCTTCAACACTCTTTTTGCTTTCACCTCCACCATGGCTGATAACCGATCCGATTCCGAAGGGGGCGCGCGAGCGAAGCGCCAGAAGATGGACGCTGGGGACCCAAAGAACAACCCCTACCTCGCTCACATGTACGAGAACAACAATGGCTCCGACAACACGGCCCTGGCCAAGTTCAAGCGACACCAGACAACCGCAGCGATGGCGAAAAAGGCCGAAGATGGCGATATCAACCCTTTCAGTGGCCGACCTTTTTCCAGCAAATATTTCTCAATCCTGAAGACCCGTCGCGATCTGCCTGTCCATACGCAACGGTGAGTGCTGCCCGACAGCCATTCCGGAAGAAATATATATACTGACCATTTTATTCAGTGATGAGTTCCTACAACTCTACCAACAGTCCCAGATCCTTGTCTTTGTTGGTGAGACTGGTTCCGGAAAGACTACGCAGATCCCGCAATTCGTCCTCTACGATGATCTCCCTCAAACTCAGGGCAAAATGATTGCTTGTACGCAGCCCCGACGAGTGGCTGCCATGTCCGTCGCCCAACGTGTCGCGGCTGAGATGGATGTCAAGCTTGGAGAGGAAGTTGGTTACAGTATCCGTTTCGAAGACATGACCGGCCCGAAGACCATCATGAAGTACATGACTGATGGTATGCTTCTTCGAGAGGCTATGAACGATCCCAACATGTCGCGCTACAGCACAATCATTCTTGACGAGGCTCACGAGAGAACCATGGCGACAGATATCCTGATGGGTCTTTTGAAGGAAGTTGTGGTGCGTCGGCCAGACTTGAAGATTATTATCATGTCGGCTACTTTGGATGCGCAAAAGTTCCAGCGGTACTTCATGGACGCGCCCCTTCTCGCAGTCCCTGGTCGTACCCACCCGGTCGAGATCTTCTACACCCCTGAACCTGAGCAAGATTACGTCGAGGCCGCAGTTCGGACTGTGCTGCAAATCCACGCCACTGAAGGTGAGGGAGATATTCTTCTTTTCTTGACTGGTGAGGAAGAGATTGAAGATGCTTCACGAAAAATCGCGCTTGAGGGAGATGAGATGGTTCGCGAGGCAGACGCTGGTCCTATCAAGGTCTACCCTTTGTACGGTAGTCTTCCTCCTCACATGCAACAGCGCATCTTCGACCCTGCACCACCTCCTCGCCGACCAGGCGGCCGCCCCGGGCGCAAGGTCATCGTGTCGACCAACATCGCCGAAACATCTCTTACCATCGATGGTATTGTGTACGTCGTGGATCCTGGATTCTCCAAGCAAAAGATTTACAACCCCCGCATTCGTGTCGAGTCACTCCTCGTTTCCCCTATCTCCAAGGCCTCCGCGCAGCAGCGAGCTGGTCGTGCCGGTCGTACACGTCCCGGAAAGTGCTTCCGTCTTTACACCGAGGGCGCATTCAAGAAGGAATTGATTGAGTCAACTTACCCCGAGATCCTGCGGTCAAACTTGTCATCAACCGTGCTCGAACTGAAGAAGCTTGGTGTTGATGATCTCGTCCACTTCGATTTGATGGACCCGCCTGCGCCAGAGACTCTGATGAGAGCATTGGAAGAACTGAACTATTTGGCCTGTCTGGATGATGATGGAAACCTTACTCAGCTAGGTCGTCTGGCCTCCGACTTCCCTCTCGACCCTGCCCTTGCTGTTATGTTGATCAGCTCTCCCGAATTCTACTGCTCTAATGAAATCCTTTCCATCACCGCCCTTCTGTCTGTACCGCAGGTCTTCGTTCGTCCTCCTGCCCAGCGCAAGCGTGCCGATGAGATGAAGAACCTGTTTGCCCACCCCGACGGAGACCATCTGACAATGCTGAACGTCTACCACGCATACCGAAGCAGTGACGCCCAGGCAAACCCCAAGCAGTGGTGCCACGACCACTTCCTCTCCCAGCGGGCTCTCCAATCCGCTGATAATGTCCGCTCCCAGCTGCTCCGCATCATGGAACGCCAGGATCTCGAGATGATCTCCACTGCCTTCGATGACAAGAAGTACTACGAGAACATCCGCCGCGCCCTTTGCGCCGGTTTCTTTATGCAAGTCGCGAAGAAGGACACAGGCGGCAAGAGCCAATACCTTACCATCAAGGACAACCAGAATGTGCTCCTGCACCCGTCCACCGTCCTGGCCCACGAGGCCGAATGGGTTTTGTATAACGAATTCGTTCTCACAACCAAGAACTACATCCGTACTGTCACTGCCGTCAAGCCAGAATGGCTTTTGGTATGTTCCCCATTCCTGTCTTATAACCAGTAGATTTACTAACTGTTGTCCAGGATATCGCCCCTACATACTACGATATCAACAGCTTCCCCAAGGGTGACATCCGCTCCGCCCTTACTCGGGCTGCTGATCGCCTCGCTCGCAAGGAGAAGATGCGCGCCGAGAAGCGTCGATAGACCACTTGTTTCTGTTCAGCCTAAAATTCACGCATGATACGCTTGTTTGTCGCACTGCTTCCTTCTCATCACGATGTCAATATATCGAATAGAATTTCTGCTTTCTCCCTCTTCTCCATACCATATTTACTCCCGGACAATCCTTTTTCGGCCGTTGCCTTCAACCAGTCTTCGAAATCTGTCTAATTTGGGAGACTGGATCAAAATACAATATACTCGAGAGGCTCAGGCCTGGTCACCATGAGTTGTTCTTCAAGGAATCAATTTTAAATCAATTTTAAATCAATTGTATGCACCACCAACGCCCTCGGGTGGTTAATACATTCAGGGCTGCTTGCCCAGGGTGTTCCTGTGTGCTCTATTGGAAACAAATGTAGTCATTTAATATACAAGAAATTCTCCTCCGTCTTTAGTGAGTACACGGACAGTCAATGTCCATGATTTAGAAGATCCACAACTCAGCTGGCAAATACTGCAGGCTCGGCACCAGGAGCTGTGCGTTCCAATGATGGTTGGTCGGTGCTGGTTTGTCGCCGCCTGCTTCGCTTGCTTGATTTCCGCGGAGATGAAGATGCCACTTGCGATTTGGCGAGGCTGATCCTAGTCGAAGTTCTGGTGAAATTGCGACTTAGTGGGGGAGTTTGGGGTTGGGGGTTTTTAAGGGTTGTGATGGTTTCGGCGGGTGGAGGGAGGGTTTCTTCGCTGGTCGGAGTGCGGGAGGAGTCTTTCGTGGAAGGGTCTGAGATGTGGTGCTTGCGAAGCTCATAGATGAGTTCGCGGAGTTGGGCAACCTCGCCTTTGAGTGTGGAGATGTCCTCATTTGCCGTGTTGCCAGCAGGTGTCTTTCCCTCACTGGAAGCTGGCGTTCTGCTACGTCCCAGGGCAGTAAATAAAGCATTCTCTGCATGCTGATCGGCCAGTTTGGCATTGCGTCGCGCGAAGGTATCCTCTACCGGCACCTCAATTTGGCTCAGGTATTCCCCAAAGGTGTTTCCAAAGTCGTAGCACTTCTGCCACAAGGGACGATCAATGTTCTCCCTCGGTGTTTGCTTCGCAGCATTCGACCACCGCTTGTGATCACCATGGACGAAAGGTCCTGAGTCCGACTGTCGTGATATAAGTCTTGGATCAAAGCCACTGTGCACGGCAGCTTTTACCAATGCATCCGATGCATCTAGTTTGTCACAGGAGTCGCAGAGGCCGACCATTCGCCCAAGCAATCTCTCGACGGAATCTACACGGTGGTCCGTTGATGACAAGAGGTAGGTCACGGCTCGTCTCAAGACGTTCACGCCCTTATCCCAGTCCCTTCGAAGGCTGTAAAACCGTAGATAGGTGAACAGGGTTTCCCAACTATCAAAGAAACCTCCACCACGTGCAGCTTGAAGCCAAGCGTCGGCTCGATCGGGCTGGTCGAAACGTAATGCCGCCGCTATCAAGGCGGCATAGATGACGGGATTGCTGCTATTTAAAGATGGAACAATGAGATCCATACCATTGACCGTACGGTGCTTATAAACCCCCCTGCTCCCTAAGTTGACGGAGTAGCCTTCTCCGCCGAGCATTTTCAAGAACAAATCGAAATCCTTAAGGTTTTTCGATTTTCTGAAGAATGTGATGATAGTGATCACGAGCGACGGGTTGAGGAAGAACCGGTTCGGCAATAATGTCCGCAGAAGCAGCTCAACCAGGTCATTTTGGCGGGTCTGGCCAAATGCCATGATCATGACCCGGAAAGCGGTTGGTCGATCCGGGTCCCTCGAGCTCAAGATGTTGTTGGATATCCGCAGAAGCAGTTCCTGGAGAGGCATCTCCTGGCTCGTGTAGATGCGAATGTCGTTGGTGAGTTCGGCATCAAGGGCCTCGCGCTCTCTTTGCATCTCGCCCAATTGACTCGCGGCATAGTCCTGCGTGATATCGCTATATGTGGCGTGTCTGTTTGTTTTCAATGTGTTCATCCGATGGCGAAGACGATTCAGCTCCTCCAGGAGCTGCGCGACGTTTACCTGAGGAGTCTCAAAGTCCGCCGCGTAGTTCATTGAGACGCCCGAGTAACGATGTGCGATGGCCGGTCGTAGCAAAATCCGGATAGCAAATTGCCTTAAAGCAAGTTTCTGAATAGCCTTCAGACGAAGATCATCTTCCAAGACCCAACTAGGTAATGTCTCCTGCGGAAGGAAAATCTCGCTCTCATCCTGCTCATCAATAGTGTGTTCGTCCTCCTCGACTGGCTTGTTTTCCACCAGTCGAGCCCCGGCCGCGTTCAAACGTGTTCTTTCTGTGTGGAAGGCCCGTATTCTGTTGAAGCTGGTTGGGAATTGGGTTCCGGGAGGGAAACAAGCGACAGTGCCGAATCCCCTCGCTTGTATTAGGCGATTGAGTCCTCGTGTTTCTCTTCGTGATTGTAATGACGCCAGAATGCGCTCCTCTTCGTCCACCAACTCGCTCACCTCGGCCTTGACCGCGGCAATCTTTTCCTCCCAGTCATGTCGGCGGCGATCCTTCACGCTCGCATCGGCAATGGCGGCACCGGCGAAAATGCTGCCGTAAAATGCGGTAACAGAGTTTCCAATTCGAAGTCGTCTCTTACTAGAGGTTGCTGCCCGCGAGGTAACCCCGTTGGTAGTAGTGCTCAAACATCCGACACAGCGGCAGGACGACTGCTTCGAAACAGTACGGGACCACAAACCCTGCATTCTCAGGGCATTGCTATCGCACAATGTGTTCCAAAAGGTAATATTGCAAACTAAAGATCAATTGGACTCCTCCCGGAGCCCCGTCGGAAGTAGGAGTAGGGAAATAGATGGGGTAACATGCGATGCAGCAAATTAATTGAAAGTTCCATTCCGCAAATGCTCGGGTCGGGTCATCAGTGCAAACATTGCAAACGAGCTAAGACCCCATATCTCCTGACACCGTTGAATGTCTATCCAAGCACTGTAAATCTGTCTACTTTTTTGTTTTCTTGAACGAATCTCTTTTGTTACAATATTCAATGGTCAATAAACTATTCGGTCTCGCAGCTGGGCTGCTTGCGTTGAGCGGACTTGCCAATGCCCACGGCTCGCATTCAAATGACGAAGCCCCCTCAGATGATTGGGCCACAAGACACATGATAGGTAAGACATGTTGGCGATGCGTCAATGGAGAAGTTGACCTTGCTAATATTGTCATATCTAGAGGAACACCACATTGAATCCTTCGACCCGAGCTCATTCTTCATCCTCCACGACTACGATTCCTCGGGGACATGGTCACAAGACGAAGTCCGCAAGACATACGGCCTCAACGACGAATCCAATGCCGGTGTCAGTGAAGAAAAGAAACAAGATGCCGTGCGAGCAGTGTTTGAGATCTTCGACACTGGGCGCACTGGGTTTATTAATCGGGAGGACTGGCTGGCGGGGCTAGCTGCGGGTAACCGGCTTCCCGATCTCGGTTACGGCCCTGGACATCATGGGGACCTTGAGTATGAGTACGAAATTCATCACTTTGAGAAGTTCCACGGCGACGATACCACGGAGGAGGACTTGACCCACCCGGAGGATATTGAACATTTCCGCAAGCATGACGAGGAGGAGGATGCGGCTATTGCCCTCGATAAGCTGGAGCAGATTCAAGTTGTCGTTGGTAACATTCCTCAGAAATTCCGCCGGAACTTTTAGACTCTTGAGCACGTTTCTTTCGATGCTTGTTTTCTATGTACATACGCGCTTATACATATCATCCTTCATCAAGTTGAGCCTCCCAGTTCATCCAACAAGTCCCCTCTCTTAACTTGTGATGTTTGAAGATATTTCTGCATATAATTCTTCCAATAGGAAAAGTATGAGAAGCTAAAGTAGCTATTCAAGACTTGAATTCGGAAGCAGAGGATATAACGATATAGCCAGCCACAAAATGAAGTAGACCCGCCAATACACCATGTATGAGATGGGAAGTCCTGACTAAAAACGTCGGGAGGGGAGTGTTGAGACGCTAAAGGCTCAAAAAGAGGATGATGATTCATAGTAAAAGGCGGCAGTAAATGCCAATGCCGAAAACAGAGAAACATGGAAAAGAGGCGTTGGGAAGAGCAAGGAGCCGTTAAGGGTAGATCTATCCCCTTATAGTTAATTTGTCTTCCAGGGGCTTGGCTCTCAGTACTCCGCAGTGTAGCCCAGCCTATCGGTCGAATCAACAACCCTGTGATATGAGTGTTAACGTTAAACTTGATCCACCGAGATTGAGAATAGTTCAAACGTACGAGTATTGTTTCGTCAAGGTCCCTTCTCCACCCTTCGAAAGATCGATATTGAAAACGTAGAAGTTGCCATCGCTAGTGACAACCATGACTTGGGGAGTATTGCTACTCATGGCAACCACACTCCTCAGCGGCCCGGGGCCTGTGTTTCCACCAGGGCCTGGGTTCGATCGCGGCAATTTGATCCAAGCAAAGTCACGCGCTGGCTCCCACATCTCACTGACTCCCTTTGGAAGATATCCGCCCATTCTGGCAGCAACTGCGCCGCCGACGTTTTGAGAGGTCCGGCGAAGCATCCCCATCAAAGTGCCGTTGTGCCTCCGCGAGGAAGAATCTGAGCCAGCATCCCCGCCCGTCTCGTCTTCCTCGGGTGAATACCCATAGGTATTTGGTGGAGAGCCATGGTCCCGACCTGGAGGAGAATGCAACGAAGAGCCATCTGACGATGGTCCTTGCTGGGCCAACTTGAAGATGTGGACGGTGTCGGTGGATGAAGAGACGCACAGGAGCGTGGATGCGGTGTTGAAAGACATGCTGTAAATTCGTGACGGCATGGAACCACGTCGGAACTGGTACAGCTTGTGGCCATCTGGAACTGAGAAAATACGAATGATGGTTCCTTTATCTGATGCAGTAGCAAGCAATGTCCCATCGCTATTCAGCGCAATGAGTGCCAGAGGAGAGCGATGCGCTTCGATGACATTGATAGCTTCTAGCTTTACAGCATCAAAGATTAGAACATCCCCGGTCGTAGGAGATACATGTGTCGTTCCAGGGGGAGCATGCGCCGGTGTATTTGCGGCTGCGGGGGCTTTTTGTGGAAGAGGATATGCCATGTAACAATTCTCTGAAGAGGGGGCAAGAGCACATATTGCTGTTGACTTGTCAGAACTGGGCAAAAAACTACTTAAAATGAAAGGGGAAAAACAGGCGCAAGAGCTCTGTACCGTTGGGGTTTGGTGAGGTATCAATGGTGGACAAAAGCTTCATGGTCTGGATATCATAAAGATAGATCTGATCCTCAAGGACAATAACAAGTCGCTTGCGGTTCAGCTTCACTGCAAGGACAGTTGTTGGAAATGTTAATTCGCATATTGTGCATTGTCGCTATTTCAAAGATTAGTTCCTAGTTCCATGTTTATATAAACTGCCTGTAATGACATGAATGAGTAACGATTCAAGATACCTTGGTGTTTTGGATCTGCAAGCGTCTTGGCGATAAGATAAGGGCTACAAGTGAGGTTGAGAATAGCATCTCAATGACAGCGATGTTCCCCTCTTTGGCTTCATAGCTCTTGGCAAAGGGTTCAGTTGTGAAGATCTGAAATCCCTTAGATGTTGCTATAAATGCGGTCAATGGACATTCAACGACAAAAATATAGAAACAATTCCGGAGGGAGACTCACCCACAGCCAGATAGCTATAGTCCTGGTTAAATGTCACGAAATTCATGGCCATTTTTTAGAAAGGTTCGGGATTGTAGATGAAATCAAGACTGATATAAGGCAACTCTCAGATGTCGGAGATACCCCGCTTAGGGCGATATCGAGAGGGGATCACCAGCAACTCTTGCCCGTCACTGGCCACAGCGTAACATGTCTTGGACTTGGAACAAAGCGAGATACTTTAAAGACGAGGATGTGGAGAAGAGAGGATATGATATCCGCGAAGTCTTTGGTCGTCACAAGCGAGAGGTTTGCGCTTGGGCCGCACCTTGATTGCCCACCGCCTACCGAGTTGTCTTATCAGTCATCGCCCGCTCTTTCCGAGGTTTCTTCTACTTCACTCTCTGGCTGATTTTGGCTAATTTTCACGCAAGAACCAATCCAGCAGGATGATAAGAAGGATATATAATTCCCCTGAAGCTATGACCTTCGGTCGCTGACTCCTTGCTTTCCTCCATAAAACGGCCGAGAGTATCCCGAGGTACTCACCCCCACGATAAGTGACGTAGAGATCGTTTACCCTGATCCTTAAGCCCTACCGATTTTACTATTTTGTCAATACAAGCAATGTTCGTCTATCATAGACTCGGCATGCAATAGCAAATAGGGTAATCCTATCGTGTTGCATATACTCGACACATGTTAGACGTGGTTGTGGAAGCAGATATATATAGTGATTGAACCCGACGATGGAAAGGCCTCGTTATTGTATTAGGATCCCTCAGCTTGTGTGTCTCTAAGTAATGACCTGTTATAAGTAGATGGCGATTCTGGTGTGAGCTTTTCGAACAAATGAGCACCCTGAGCAGACAATAGGGTTCCAATCATATATATACCTTGAGAGCAATTCATGTTTATCAGCCTCGATGTATGGTGACCGTCTGTCCAATGAAAAATATAGAAGCCTGATCATGTTAATCTCAGTCAACGCATATTATATGAGGCATTTGTGCTGTTGGGCTGGATGATGTACTCAGCTAGTCACATGTCGCCCATGCAGAAGGTGCCATTAAAGTCCAATAATCCAACACCAACACCAACACCTGCAGCCCAGTATCTGGGAAAGGGCAAGGACTGACCAGGTTCCCTGGACATGGACTAAGTCTGTCGCGTATCACTAACGAAGACTGGTCAGTTCTTGAAAATTTCAATCGAGACCGGTGTACCAAACTAGGAAGGAATACCTCGCAAGCGCGAGGGAAACAAGGTACGGCAGCTACCCGCCTCGCACGACATAGTCCCTTGTGCATGGGCCACCGAAATAACCCTCATTAGGTCGTTCTTCATGCCGCCCGACTGAAATTGGGCTTTCGACTTCCGCTTAATAGTTCAAGACTATGTCCAAGTCAGATAGGCAGCAGTCAAGACAGTTGGTCAACCTGTCTACCCTTTCTCGGGTTAGTGAACCCCTAAGTAATGTGGCGCAGGCCATAGCCAATATGCATAATTCCCTATCCAGACCGAGACTCAGTTATCATGTGGCTTCACTGGAATATGGAATTAACCGGCTACTTGGGTAGCAAACGGCCATGTGCATTAGTTAGATATATCAACTAAGGTAAGCACTAGGTCTGTGGCAGCTAACATGTGTCAGATCCAAGACAAGGAACAGCCTATTTTGTTTCCGCCCGATGATGTGCAGTTCCTGCACGTTCCGACTGGCGCATAGAGTATCCATATCCCCAAATACCGGTGCCGGTGCCGACTTGGGCGTTTAACCGAGGCACAGCACTGATAATATTGATACCAACCCGCTGGTAACATAGGTGGTATTCCATTCCTAGTGACACGTAAACTTTCTGGACACAGCTCACCAACCCGACTGAAGGGAGTATGCATCTAGTCATGATGTCCAGGACAGCTGGGATCTGCAGACGTGGTAGGAATCGAGGCAGGATCTGCAGAAAGTTGCCCGATCGTTCAATGCAGCGCTCCGTCCGACACAGCCCACTTTTTCTCTATGGCCGTTGGCTCAGGAGTTGTAAGATATAGGTGACCAATGAGAGTTGACATGGGTTCTCCGGTATGGCGGAAATATCCAGCGATACGCTAGGGAAAAGATAAGACGACTTAACTGCTATTGACACATTCGCGACCTGGGTATACCTGCCGACATATAGATGGTACATAGGCTTGTTATTAGGCACTGGCGCGACGGTGTTAGGTACCCGGTCCCAATCTTGGGCACCTGCAATGAGGCATACCCATCACAAGATCAAGGGTGTTGTTTCGGGACGGGCTATTGACGGGATTAGGCATCTGTTTACTATTGGGCATATTACATCTAACGTTGTGATGTCCCCCACCTCGAGTGGATCGCAGTGGCGATCCGGGGTTAGTTCGTTCCACCCTGTAACTAGTTATGGGATACTGGATATAAGTACTTTTAGATGTCTCGAAGCAGTAATATGTGGGTTGGGTCTTTTTTTCATTTGATGTATCATGTTTCAAGAATGTTTCCACCCTCGGGAACATCTGAAAATTGAGATTCAGTACTATATGCCCGGGTGGATGCTGCCGGGTGTATGGAGAACGTTTACCATATACATCAATTACGGAGTGCCCGTGGAATCCTTTTGGATTGGCAAATTGACTTTCCTGTTTCCATGGACACGAAATGCAGGAGAAATGGCTCGACCTCCGGCTGGCAGGGCTTTTTCATCCGATGTGGATCCTGATATCCTCTCGAGCGGGGTGATAACCTTGGAAGTTCTTTGTTCCCCATCAACCAAGGAGAATAGGAGAAGAACCTTGGAAACCCCCTCCCCAGACGCACAGACAAGGCTATAATCTGGTCCGAGGGAGATATCGGCAAATCTCATCGTCATCATTGGTCTGCCTCATGAGTGATTGGCCACATCAACGGTTAGTTGTCTGTGGTCGCTTTTTTTTTTGAGCCCAGTAGGTTTTTGAAGGGTGGGGTTTAGGGGGGGGGGCAAGTATACGCGAGAGAAAAGTGGTCAGGATCCCTGTCTAGAGGGGACATGCCGTTCAGGATCTGTATCTGATGCATATATCATACCATCAATTAATACAAGGTTACGCGGATAACATCCAGACCCGCGGCGGTGGAGCGTGTGGATACAGATGCAATTAATTGGGGCCACCATCTGGGAACCATGACGATGGTGATAAGTGATGATGATGAGACGATATCCAGTAACATACATGTAAGTTACAGATGTATAAACAATAGAATTCACTGGGGATACATAATGTACAATGGCCCCAGGTACACTCGCTGTCAGATCTTGTCCCACGTTATCTTCCCCCCCTCCTTCAATTGCTCTCCACTCCATTCCTCTCCTCTCCTCCTTCTACTTGATGCATTGCTTCTTTTATCTCAAGTCTCTCCCTGCCGCCTGACTGCCTTTATCTTTCCATTCTTCACCCCCTTGCCTTATCTCTGCTGGTCTTGTACGATCTCCCCCTCCCAACTCGCATCCTTCTTCTTTACTTTCCATGTTTTGCAACTGCTCGAGTTCGCGACACTGGCTCATACTCGCGACGCGCTTCAGGAAATTCTGCTAACAACTGCCGCGTAGTTGTGGTTGCGATCACCCGCGAGTCAGATTTCCATTGCTTTCGTACTCTTCCCCATATCGCGACTACAAAGGATGTAACCGTCTTTTGATTCGACTCTCAAAGGTGTTGCAATTGCAAGTGACACAACCATATTCATCACAATATTACACCCCTTTTCAACCACGCGTTCTAGTCAGTCGTCATGGCCACAGTGCTAGTCCAGCAGCAGGCGCTGCACCACTCGACCCCCCCTCCCTCTCCAATCCCCTCAGCCTTGATAAACCGACGATCAAGCCCTATCCCGAACAGACATATTCCAGTATGCCCTACAGGCCCGATTCCAACATCTCAGCCTCAGCCTGTCTCCGTGTCCCGGCCCAGCGGTCAGCCTTCCTCGCTGTTGTCTCCTCCAGATGAAAGAATGCGCATTGGACGACCGTCATCCCCCGCTGTGTATGCCATCGACGGAGCCAAATTAGCAGCCGCGATCGCTCATCAAGCATCACAACCTTTACCCGACGCCTCTCTGATGTTTCCTTGGCTCCATGGACTGCACCGAGACAACCATCTGCAGCTGGGATTCTTTTCAAGTCGCAAGCGACATGCTCGTCACACTCCGAAATGCTGGCGAGGCCTTACCATCGTGAAGCTTGGAGGTGACCTGAGCAAAGCACGCATCAGGGGCGCAATAAGCGCCCATGAGGTGCTGGCACCTTCATCCCATTTCTTGATGGCTGATCCTCCCGAGGGATTCTCCGTCCGCAATTTCCAAATACAAACTGCCAAGCTGGCTGCGATGTCGGATATCATTATTTATGCTGAAGATGATGATAGCCATAGCGGACTTGTTGAACTAGCAAACCAGTTTGCCAAGGCGCAGCGGTTATGGCGAACGAAAATGGATCCCCTAGAGGAACGGCCGACGTACAACACCTTCATTCTGGCCGGTTCGTTGCTTTGCCTTATCTCCCGCATTCATGAACCATCAATTGATATACCCTCATAGACAAATTCTCCAACGTTGCCGACCAACATCCAGAGATCATTTCCATCGATGCGAAAGGTCAACCGACAGGTCAAACTATGGATTTCGGTAAGTTTAAACGAACCTTGGCACGCCCAGAGTTAACCTGAACAAAATGGTAGCCCAATGGGAGCGACTGGAAATGTCTACAATGTCCCGGGCTTCCGAGATTTCGTCCAATGTTTGGCTAGGGTCTACCCCGGACTACTTCCATACTGGAGCTCTCGAGTCATCAAAGGAGGAGGGCTACGACCTATTGATCGAAACATGCGACATGGCCAACATCCCTGGTCCGCGCTTCCTCGCTATGCTCGATAAACAGATAGAGAGTGGTTCACAGCGCTTGGAGTTCCCTTCATCAGGATCTCTTGTGCTCCCATCGGGAAACACCCGAGAGGTTGAGGACATTGTCAACACAATCAGATGGATCTATTATCTCGCGCACCCAGAAACATCATCGGAAGACCTCGAACCGGACGGAGACGTCGTTATGATCAAATCGAGCGGGAAACCCCGCAAGATTCTCATCCACTGTGCGGACGGTTATACCGAAAGCTCGCTGTTGGCAGTGGCGTACTTTATGTTTGCAGAAGGGGTGCCTGCCCATGAAGCCTGGCTTCGACTGCATTGCGATAGGCAACGCAATTTCTTTGCCTATCCGACAGACGTTGCTTTCCTACGCCACATTCAAGAACGTCTCTTGCAGGAAAGCCCTGCGACTCAGTCGACAGATCTCTCGGAAATCGGGGATCCGCATTGGTTTCACAGCATCGACGGCTCCTTCCCCAGCCGTGTCCTACCGTATCTGTATCTGGGCAATCTGAATCACGCAAACAACCCGGAGCTTCTGTGGCAGCTTGGAATCAAGCGTGTGCTTAGTATTGGCGAGGCTGTCAACTGGACAGATTCGGACCGCGCCAAATGGGGAGCTGACAATCTGATGTACATTGACAATGTCCAAGATAATGGCATTGATCCTCTCTGTCAGGAGTACGATCGTTGTTTGGACTTCATAGGTAAGTCCTCCGAATTTGTGACTCCTCCGTTTCTGTTTCAACCTGCTAATCTGTGTACAGAAAAAGGAAAACGCCACGGCACGGCCACATTGGTTCATTGTCGGGTCGGTGTTTCCCGATCTGCAAGTATTTGCATCGCTGAAGTCATGGCGTCCAAACATCTCTCTTTCCCCCGTGCATAGTAAGTAATCTATAATTAAGTCGTTTGGCCGAGCCGATACTAATTCATAACAGCTGCTTTGTCCGCGCAAGACGACTCAACGTCATCATCCAGCCACATCTTCGCTTTGTGTAAGCATCTGTCCTTCTACCCTCACATTCAACAAGGAAAGATTGCTCACATTTCCCTGCAGTTATGAACTCCTTCAATGGGAAGAGCATCAAATGAAAAAGCGAGGCCAGCCCGTCAAGCGAGATCTTGAATGGGACATTGTTGCACGTGAGATAGCTCTGCTCAACAAGCCTTATTCGAGGCACTAAGAGTAGCCTCGACCCACCCCCAGTCTACACAATCAGGATTATGAGGGCGGCATACTGGATACTGGATACGAGATTGCCATTCCTACTGCAAACGCGAACGCTTAAACATTTCACAAGACTTCTCTACCGACTACTTAGGGTCAACACTCGGCTTTACGATGACCCGGACACTAAACCTACTCCCTTAATGCGTGTTGTCACCTCACCTATTCGGGATACTACACACTACGATACAATGACTCTGCACGATTTCTACGAACATGAGACGACCTTTTGATTGATCTTTGGCGCTCGGCGTTCTGAAGACCTTAGGGCATGATATTGCACCAACCATCCATGCAATCTTTCTGCTGTCTCTGTTCGACCCGATATTTTCTTTCTTCTCAGCCGGCCCATCTTGTTGATTTTACCTCTTGATTTCGGCCTATTTTATCTTTCTGCCTCCAATTTCTACTTTCTACTTTTTTTCTTTCTTTTGTTGCTGTTTCATCCAGCAATCCAGGTTTTGCACTGGTATTTCATATCATTCTACCAGCATTTTCTCATGATACACCTCACCTTGTCTAGGGGTTACGTCTTCATGCTACGCTGCACGTTTGAACTGGAACTTTCGAAAACATACTTATTACATTTTCATATCCATTTGAATTATTATCTCTTCGTCGTCTTGTCTTTATCATTTTGTCTCGCCTTTTTTCTCCTCTCTCGGTCCCTTCTATGGGCTTTGGGTTATGTGTTATTTAGGGTTGGTGTGGTCACAATTTCGGTGATCACAGGCGTATCTGCTGACCATTTTAATGTTATTCGTCTCATTCAGGCTTCACATCTCTCGATTCGGTTCAAGATACCTTGTAGGATTTACGGGAATATCAAGTCGAACGCACAATAGGTATGAGGTATATGAACGATCACCAATGCAGGCCTTTAGATCCCCCGCCGAAAAGCAGACAGATATTCATTCATTATTCATAAATATAATTCGGTATAATACAACTGTATGACATTACGACATCCTCTTATTACTCAACAGCGCTCAAACACCCGATATAGCCCCTTTAGATCTGCAACCTCAACCACACCCCGCAGCAGCCGTGACGTGGCAACCAGCCGCGCACGGAGAGCCGGGAAAATAGCATACTCCAACATGCGAACCATCTGTGCACGACGCGCCCTAACAAAAGCATCTTCATCCTCGACCCCAGAGTCATCGGCTACCACCGGCCCCTGCGTAACCGACTCCCCCAGCGCGTCCTGCGCAACAGGCCGCGACAGAACCGGAAGCTGCTCAGGCGTGTAAAAAGCAGCCAGCTCACGCAAAAATGTACGGAAACAACCCTCCTCACTGTCCCAGTCCACATACGGCCCAAGCCTCAGCAGGAAACGAGGCAGTTTCGCCAGCGCAGGCAGATACCCCTTCAGCAACAGCGGGATGGAAAGCAAGTCTCCGTCGGGACTGATCTGCAGCGAGAAGTACTCGTTCAGCATTTCGCGACGGTCGATGAGCGTGCGCGCTATCATCTCCGGTGCATTGGCGAAGATGGAATCGGCCTCGTCCGCTTTGCTGCTGTCCGGGTGCTCTTGGCGTTCTGATTCTGCGGCGATTTTCAGTAGATCTACCAACTTCGGCGCTGGGTCTAGGCGGATTACGCCGAAGTTGCCGAAGTCGGTTAGGCCTACTTGGTAGAAGAATTCGTGGCATGCGAGTCCGTAGTCGATTAGGTATAGCTTCACGCCTGATTGGATTGCTGCGAGTCGGCGTCGTTCGTCCACTAGTCCGACGTATGTGTGTGACGCGAACATCTCGGTTAGTGTGTTGTGCATCTCGGAGCGGACGGCGGCTCGGAGACCCTTGACGGATGAGAGGGCGATCTTTAGGGGTTGGCGATCGGTTGTTTCGTATTGGAGGCCGTTGTCTAGAATTGATGTCGTTGGGTCGTTGGGTTCTGTGGGTGCGTCTGGGTTGGATGGGTCGCGAGGTGAGGCGGCTGGGCCTAGCATTGCCGTGATTTTGCGGACTTTTGAGTCTGTTCTTATGAGGTTGTTTTCGTAGGGTCTCTTAGCCGTTGCGGGCGTTTTGGGCGTCGCTCCGGCTTTTGTTGCCTCTGCTGTTCCCTCGTGAGTTTGAGCGTCTCGATCGCGTTGTAGTGACTCGATTGTCTGCACGCCAGGTAGGAGACTTTGTGTCAGGAACGTGCGACTCGAATCTACCTCAACCAGCTTGGATCGGATTTCAGCGCAAACAAGTTCAATGATCTCGTCTTCATTTAGGAAATTTACTTCCCGCTTTGTCGGGTGTACATTCACGTCGACGCGGCTAGGCTCGACCTCGAGATCAAGATAGACGAAAGGATGGCCGCCTTTGGGCAAAAAGGCAGAGTAAGTCTGTTCAACTGCACGCTTAACAGCGGTTGACTCTACTGCGCGGTGATTTATGAAAAGCAGAATTACTGTCTTCTTGACATGATAGTTGGCGTTGGTAGCGAAGCCGGATGCGTGAAATCCGAACTTGGTATCCTCTGTTTTGAATTCAACAAGTTCGTTTGCCACGGCACTGCCGTGGATCTGGCGGATCCGGTCGACAGTATTTGCGCTGACTGGAGTTGATATGCTCACACCGGAGTCTCCGTGCTTGCGGCATGAGAAAGCAACTCCGGAGCAATGCACTGCGTACCGGCCAACGACATCAAGGATTTTAGCATATTCCTCGCTTGCCGAGCGGAATGCTCTCCGTCGAGTGGGAACGTTATAGAAGAGATCCTCGACCTTGGGCTCCGTTAACTTGAAAGTTGCCATATTTTCATCGGTTTAACTTACGGTAATTTGAGTTCCCCCTCGGCCAGCCGTTGCCTTGGGTGCGGAATTCTGGCCTGGCTTTGCCGGTATCAATTTGCCATCTCCGTAATGTGCTCGCCAGGCGCAGCTGGATCCAGCAGTCTTCGTTGTAACCGTCAGATGTGCGATATGACTGATACTAGCTAGAGCTTCACCGCGGAATCCGTATGTTCCAATGGAGGTCAAATCTTCGAATTCTTTGAGCTTAGATGTAGTGAATCTCTCGCAGAGAATAGGGAGATCGTCTCGCTAGATAATGTTAGAGCCGGCTGCTATAATCTTAAAAATGACTTACATCAATGCCATGGCCATTATCAGTAATCTGGAGTAGTTTCAGACCCCCTTCCTTAATTAGGACTTCAATCGAGGTGGAGCCAGCATCGACGGCGTTTTCGATGAGCTCCTTCAGTGCGTGCATTGGAGCAACGATAATCTCCCCAGCAGCAATTTTATTTACGACATCGGGATCCAAAGCCTGTACGGAATTTAGTATTTCTGGTATGTGATAGTATCCGATTGGTTTCATGTGCACGCGTTACTGTACCTTGATTTTCTTTGGTTTAGGGGGTTCCAGAGGCTCATCTTCCTCTACGGCGCGCTTGGTGCCGCGTTGATCGATAGGCTCAATATTCATATCGTCTTCCATCCTGATTTCCAGCTATCAGGAAGGTGCTCTGTGGGGGTTAGGTTGCGAAATGCGCGTAGTTGGAGAAAAGGCGAAGACCCGATAAGGCGATAAGAGAGCCCAGGCGTCATTGCTGGTGGATACCATTGCTCCGCTACATTCTTCCTTTCGCAATGGATATGCAACACTCCGGTCGCAATTGTCCTCTGCATCTATCCGTTGCTTCGATGTCATAAAGAAACCCACGGAGCTCACGGAGCTTTCCCTTAATAATTCCGGGCCGAAATCATGAACCGCGCAAAAATGCCTCTTCAGGCTGATGAAGAGATGGGCAAGAAAGATGACGACCATCGACCATCCGATCAAGCACGCTTCCTACCTCTGCGGCACCGAGCAATGCCCCGACCTCGCCGAATATTGTTTGCTATCATTGCACTTATCCTCGTCTACGAGTTCTTCAAGCACATGCCGACAGACCTAGGACCTGTCACAGATCGGTACGACTCTGCGGCTGCGAAGCTACGAGAAGAAAGCCTTGCCAGATGGGCTGGCTCAGGCAATCCAGCTGCTGTTCCCAAGCCAGGCAATGCACTACTGGACAATTTGCCGCCAGTCAAGGTGTCGGAATCGGACCGAAAGGAGGAAGCTTACGATGGGATGATCAAATTCTATGAGTTGGCCCACTCTCTTCCTCGCTATAAATATTCGCAGAAAACCACGAGCCGTGCAGTTTTGTTTGCAGCCTCAAGTCTCCGCAGTGTGTCAGATCTTCTGCCCTTAGCTTGTCGGATGGCTAGTCAGCGGCTGAACTATGTGCATTTCACCTTGATGGGCAAGGAGGAAGTCTCGATTGACGGAATCAAGGAAGTCAACAGAATCAGAGATAGTGAATGCCCGATGACATGGCACGGTATGATATTCAGATCCTGATGGTCGAACGCGTGTTGCTGACTTGGCGACAACTGACAGATGCTCGGCCGGACTATGCACCCAAATCTACCGATGACCGTATGAAGCGGTCTGTGATAGGGGGGTTGCAAAACATAAAAGCCTACATCAGCCCCGAGCTCATCATTACACAAGGTCGGGACTGGGAGGATTCCTTTTTCTGGGACGGGGTTGAGGTCTTTTCTCGAGAACGTGACGTCCCTCACGTTGCTCTTTCCTCTGATTCAAGGAATCTTATGTGGATAGCTTCACTGGATAGCCAAGCTCTTCGATGTAGGTTATCTTCCTCCTCTTTGGTATGTCATGTCCGGAAATGCTGACCGTACCTGCAATAGCGTGGAATAATATACAAATCGAAATGGTGGTGCATGCAGCCTCCGAGTCTTCTGGGTCTTTGATCAGGCTTATTAAGTCATTGGATGCAGCCGACTATTTAGGATCGGCTCCAAGCTTGACAATAGAACTACCCCAGCGGGTAGATTTACAGTTGCTTCGGTTTCTCCAACATTTGGACGGGCTGACCCAGCTTCCTGGCCGAATCACTATTCGGCGGCGCATTCAACCCCATGGCATGGACACAGAAGAATCATCGCTTCGAACCGTGGAGTCGTTCTATCCGCGGGATCCTGAGATGACACATTTGCTTCTGCTATCTCCACAGACCGAGCTCGCACCATCGTTCTACCACTACCTGAAGTTTGCTGTACTGAATTACAAACAGTCTTCTCGCGCCAAGCGCCTTTTTTCCAATATGATCGGCATCTCACTTGAACTGCCATCATTCAAACCCACGGTCGATAGTCAATCTTTCACCCCGCCACCCATGACCGTTGAAGGCAAAGAACAGTTTCTTCCCTCGTTCCTCTGGCAGGCCCCCAATAGTAATGCAGCTTTGTATTTTGGTGATGCATGGGCGGAATTCCATTCGTTCATGGCTAACCGCCTGTCGACTCCGCAATCCACAGCGGCCTCCCAACCAAAGATTATATCGGAGAAATATCCGGCCTTTATGGAATACATGCTCGAGATGATCCGCGCCAAAGGATACTACCTGTTATATCCATCATTCCCAGGAATAAAATCTTCTTCGATTGCTACAGTACACAACGAGCTATATCAGCCCCCAGAAGAATTTGCGGACAACAGTCCCGCAACCTCGGATGAAGAAGCTACTCAAGACATTCACGATCCTGCTCAGCCGCTTACAGGGGGCTCTCTCGCCGGCTTAGGCTCCATTGAAAAACCACTGAACCGTGCATCAACTATAATGCCACTTCTCGACTTGTTTTCTTCGGGTCTTCCCGATCTTGATGCTTTGCCTCTGCTTTCATACAACGGAGAGGGCTCAACGGCTGCGGCATACACCAAACAGACGGAAGAATATGCCAAGCAGTTCCGAAATCTTTACGGAGGATGCCCCAGAGATAGCAAGATTGATGACGTCTCGACAGACCTATTATTTTGCATATAAGAATGAATTCCCAGCGAAATCTCTAGGATCTGAATCAGAATTTCACCGGCACGTTTACCAAACTCAGGATAACAAGAAGAGTCGGCCGCTCATGAGGCCTATATCCTCGAGGATGTGGAATTTAATAATCTTATCTAGTTGGTCTAAAATGATATTAGCGGCGTTACATGTGTTCTGGGATGTCTTTTAGATGTGTACAAGCATGGTAAAATGCATAAACCGCACATAGCACTTTCCGATGTACGACAAAGGGGTGTAAAAATTGAAGCCGATATTAAAATACCCCCAAGTCATCCTCTCCCTCATAAATCAGAGTCATAAGGATTCGAGTCATAGAATTGAAGTCGTAGCCATCGTAAATCCAAAACAATGACGAGGGCCTTCCGCAGGGCTTGGCACATTATGTAATCTAATTACGGAGCTGCACCAGACCGAGCTCTGCTTCTCCATCACCAGCTTACAATCCACTTGCATCACTCTTTACTTGCAGAATTTCATCTATCTCTGCTTTGTAACACCATCTTCTGCTCACCTGCTTGATACCTACTTCTCCCACGCCGGTTCAGTTTCCCCCCGACTTGGTCCCCAGCTACCATCAGAAATGGCCAACGAGGGCGAACGGCCAACCTCCGCCGACAAGGGCAAGGGCAAGGTTGATGATGTTCGCGAGTTGAGCGGCAAGAACACCGAAAATGGCGAAAAGCCAGCAGACGAAAAGAAGAAAGATGAGGCATCTAAAGATGGTACGTTGCGATAAGGCATTTCCAAGTTCTCGCAACGGAGCATGTGGTCTCTCTCAAGGGTCCACAGTGGCACTCAAAGCAACATGCTGACGAAAACTACACACAGAGGAACTCAGTGAAGAAGATCAACAATTGAAAAGCGAGCTTGAGATGCTCGTTGAGCGGTTAAAGGTACAGTTACTATCCTGTCCCGTGCGCATAGCACAATGACGTTAATCATTTTTTTTGCTCATAGGAACCCGATACCTCGCTCTATGGGCCTGCTTTGGACGCAATCAAGAACTTTATCAAAACTTCTACATCCTCCATGACAGCTGTTCCTAAGCCTCTCAAGTTCCTCCGACCGCATTATGATGACCTGACAGCGCTCTACGAGAAATGGGCCCCCGGCCCTGTGCAGGTTGGTTCTGCAGCGCTTCCATCGCTTTGTGACAAACTAACAGTATCCTTTTTTCTAGAACTCGCTAGCTGACATGCTGTCGGTGCTTGGAATGACCTGCGGAGACGAAGAGAAGCTGGATACCATCAAATACCGCCTGTTGGCCAAGTCGGAGGATCTTGGCTCCTGGGGCCACGAGTATGTCCGACATCTCGCGCTGGAACTCGGACAGGAGTATCAGAACCGGTTGAACGCAGACCAGGATACCCAGGATCTAGTGGACCTTGCGTTGTCGCTGGTGCCCTATTTCCTGAGTCATAACGCTGAAGCTGATGCAGTTGATCTCATGAGCGAACTGGAAATCATCGAAGATATCCCTCAATTCGTTGACGAGAACACATACGCTCGAGTCTGCTTGTATATGGTCAGCATGGTCAATCTACTCACTTACCCTGAAGATCAGCAATTCCTTCGAACCGCCCACGGGATCTACGTCCGCTACAACAAACTTTCGCAAGCAATCGTGCTCGCTATCCGTTTGAATGACATTGATCTTATCAAGAGCGACATCCATGCCACGACTGACAAATCGTTGAAGAAACAGATGGCATTCCTTGTCGCTCGGCAGCAGATCTGGCTCGACCTCCCAGCCGAAGATGAGGAGGGAGAGGCCTTGGCTGATTGTCTCAATAACACTTCTATTCCGAAGCACTTCAAATCCCTGGCCAAGGAACTCAATATTCTGGACCCCAAAATGCCGGAGGATATCTACAAGACACATCTCGAGAGCAGTCGCGGAGCCGGGCTCACCAATCTTGACTCGGCACGACACAACTTGGCCAGCGCCTTTGTCAACTCGTTTGTTAACGCCGGCTTTGGTAATGATAAGATGATGCTAGTGGAGGGTGATAAGGGCCCGTGGGTGTGGAAGACCAAGGATGATGGCATGCTTTCCACAACTGCGTCACTGGGTATGCTGCTACACCGTGATGTCGAGGATGGGTTGGATAAGATCGACAAGTTCACCTACGCGCAAGAAGACCAGGTTAAGGCTGGTGCACTGCTCGCTATTGGTATCCTGAACTCCGGCGTTCGACTTGATTCCGACCCCGCCCTTGCCCTCTTGAGTGATCCCGACAACCTTGAGGCGAAGAGCGTGCCGATGAGAGTTGCATCCATCATGGGTCTTGGTTTAGCATATGCCGGATCCAACAAGGAAGAACTGCTTGAGGTCCTCCTTCCCATTGTGGAGGACGCCTCACTAGACATGCAACTGTCTGCCATGGCAGCAGTTTCACTGGGTCTCATCTTTGTTGGTTCATCCAACCACCAGGTTAGCGAGGCAATTGCGACGACTTTGATGGATGAGGAACGTCAGAAGCAGCTCAAGGACAAGTGGACAAGGTTCATGGCCCTTGGTCTGGCACTTCTGTACTTTGGCCGTCAAGAGGAGGTTGATGTCATCCTTGACATTCTCAAGGCAGTTGATCACCCCATGGCTAAGCCCACTTCAGTCCTTGCCTCAGTATGCGCTTGGGCAGGCACTGGAACGGTGCTCAAGCTACAAGAGCTTCTCCACATCTGCAATGACATCATTGAAGAAAAGGAGGAGAACAAGGGTGATGAGCTAGTCCAGTCGTATGCTGTTCTCGGCCTGTCTCTCATTGCGATGGGTGAGGATGTCGGACAGGATATGATTCTCCGCCAATTCGGTCACCTCATGCACTACGGATCTAGCAATATTCGCCGGGCTGTTCCCCTGGCTATGGGCTTGATCAGCCCCAGCAACCCACAAATGAAGGTTTACGACACACTGTCCCGGTATAGTCACGACAATGACAACGATGTTGCCATTAATGCCATCTTCGCCATGGGTCTCTGTGGCGCTGGTACCAACAATGCCCGTATCGCACAGCTTCTCCGGCAATTGGCCAGCTACTACCACCGCGACCAGAACTCACTATTCATGGTTCGCATCGCACAGGGTCTTCTACACATGGGCAAGGGTACCATGACGCTCAATCCCTTCCACACCGACCGACAGGTCCTTTCCCGTGTCTCAGCAGCGGGCTTGCTTACTGTGCTTGTATCACTCATCGATGCCAAGCAATTCATCCTCGCTGAACATCACTACCTGCTATACTTCCTCATCACCGCCATGTTCCCCCGCTTCCTTATTACCCTCGATGAGGACCTTCAGCCACTCACCGTCAATGTCCGCGTCGGTCAGGCTGTGGACGTGGTCGGCCAGGCGGGTCGCCCAAAGACCATCACTGGATGGCAGACTCAGAGCACACCAGTCCTGCTGGCACACGGTGAGAGAGCTGAGCTTGAGGATGAGCAGTACATCCCTCTGAGCAGCACTCTCGAAGGCTTGGTTATCTTGCGTAAAGTAAGTGCCCTTATCTCAAGTCAGACATACCAGTACTAACCTATCTTCCAGAACCCGGACTACGAAAACCCCGAATAAGCAAGCTAGACTAGATATTCCCCGATTTACATCCATTGCTCGCAACCAGCGGGACTCGTATAGTGGTCGGGTTATCGTTGGATCTAATGTATTCAGAACGAATGAAGAATAGCATGGATTTATCTCACAATTTTTTATATATGTTCAACTGCTCGCATCTATGAGTAGACTACGTATTTTCGACTAGCCCCTTGACTTTCATCTACATTCGAAGATATCCAGTCAAGACCTTGTAATTGTCGCATATTTTTCTCCAATGAACGCGAGAGCTATCAAGGTTCTCATCCCGGATAGGAAATAGGGCATAGGGCTAGGTTCTTATCAACTTTTTTCCTCCGCCGCATCGTTGACTGGTCTTGAAGTTCTGGCCTCCAGCGAATCAATTTATGGAAATCGGAAGAAAGTGAAAAGCTCCTTCATTTCCTCACAATCATGAAACTCGATGCTAAGGCTATTCGCTACCTCACCTCCGAAGATTTCCGAGTTCTAGCAGCGGTACTTATCGGCCTCCCCTTGGGTTTACCCCGCGATGTTCTTCCTTTGGGGATATTCTGTCGCGAATCATTAGCTAACATGTAAATTATTCCTAGTGTGAAGCTGGCAGCCGGAATCATGAGGTCGTTCCAACGCCATTGATCGCGCAACTTTCGGGCCTCCGGGGCGGCAGCGGTGTCAATCGTGCAATCTCAAACCTCGCGAAAATCAATCTGATTGCAAAGGTCAAGAATGCCAAATGTATGCATTCCCTTTACTTTTGCATCTGATCTTATCACTGATATATGTATTCTGCTTATAGATGACGGCTACCGACTCGCATACGGAGGATTGGATTACCTTGCGCTGCACGCGCATCAAAAGTCGAAGGTCATCTATTCGGTCGGCAACCAAATCGGCGTGGGGAAGGAATCAGACATCATCGTGGTGGCAGAAAGCACCGGAGCGCAACGTATTATGAAAATCCACCGTCTCGGTCGTATCTCGTTCAGAACAGTCAAGACGAACCGTGACTACCTACGACACCGCAGCTCAGCCTCATGGATGTACATGTCTCGATTGGCAGCAATGAAGGAGTTCGCTTTCATGAAGGCTCTGCACGAGAACGGATTCTCTGTCCCCGACCCCATCGCCCAGAACCGACACACCATCGTCATGAGTCTAATTGATGCTTTCCCTCTGCGCCAAATCTCAAAAGTCGCTGACCCCGCTGGGCTATACTCCGAACTTATGAATATCATCTTGGATCTTGCCCGATATGGTCTTATCCATGGTGATTTCAATGAGTTCAATATCCTTATCAAGGAAGAGTTAGACCCCGAAATGAAGGGGAAAGAACTTACTGAGGAAGAGGAAGATGAGCATATCCGGCTGGTCCCGGTTCTCATTGATTTCCCGCAGATGTTGTCTGTCG